TCTCGCGTGAGATCAATTCTTATTATTATTTAATTAAAAAATAGATATATATATCAATTTTTTATTCGTTATACTAAATCTTTTCTTGTCAAAATTATTTCATTCAAATCAATACAATATTTACACACACGCATTACTCTATATTTATTTTTTATTTATTCGCATAATCAATCCCCCTCCCCCGTCCCCTACGATTCGTTACATTTTTCTCTTTTCTTATTCTAAATAAGATAACTATAAAAATGATTTTATTTTCTCGTGATTTGCGACAAATCGTCTTTCTCTTCTTAGGCAAGGTTTATATCTTTCCAAGCAAAAATATGGTTCGAAAAGAAGCTTAAGTTACACCGTTCCATCGGTTTACTTATGCATACAAATATACATACATATATATATATATATATATATGTGTGTGTTCATGTATACATTTATATATCTATCTACGAATTCATGTATCCATGTATGAATTCGTATATGTATGTATGTATGTGTTCATGTTTCCATGTATATGTCGTGTACTTATATCTGTGTGTGTGTATGGATAGTAATGCATATACTTGAAAAGACTATCAAACACACACTAGTCCCTCCGGCGTAATCGTTTTCAAAAGAAAATCCGAAAATCGATAACCCATTTGTTCAGGCAGATTTGAAAGCTTGCTTCGATGAACGATCCAATCGCGTGTGTTCATTTCTCTCTCTCTCTCTCTCTCTCTTTCTGACCAATCAAGAGTCCTTACACTTCCCCCACTCTTTTTTTTCTCTCCTCCTCCACCATGAATAAAAGCTCATCAGAAATATTGAGTGATGTGTATGATATGCATAGAAATTCGAATTGATTTTTATATTCGACACATTTAGGCTAATAAATAATATCTTTTCATTTCGTATTTTTTATTCAATTTAATTTCAACGATTAATCGTTTTTATTCGTTAATTATATACTTTTTTTCGTACGTTTACATTGTATACATCGATAAAAAATAAAATTTGATTATAATATTATAATTATAATATTATA